ACCTGCACTCTGCGTTACATAAACCATATCAGCCATTAACGCAAAACCGTCAAGTTTCAATTGTGATATGTATGCTTGTAAAAGAACATTAATTTTCGCACTGGGCTCATCAATACTTTCTTTAACAGGTATTGGAACACGTTCGAGTAATTTTTGTAATTCAATTTTTTCTTCTTCTCGAACGGTGATATGACGAAATTCTGATGACAAAGAAAATATACGGAATAAATCTATTTCACTTAATGTTGGTTTCAATAATTGATTATACATGGCAATAGTTTCATGTGTACAATAATAATGACTTGCTATGCGACCATGCTCAGTTCCTTGAAAATTGCCCGTCTTACGATCGTAACGTATTAAATGGCATTTATCTAATTGTATAGCTGCTGAATGAATTAAATCAAGACGTCGTTGAAAAAGATATTTGTCAACAAGTAACGATTCGTTTGATACACCATATAATTGAGGTTCTTTTATCATACGAACATATAAATACGTATAACTAAGCCATTCGGCGGCTTCACGAATATTTTGAACAGTACCAAGAACGATTTCAGCATTGAGATTATCGACTAATTTTGAAACCATTTGACTTTCAATTGGAAGCTAAAATAAACAATAGAATGTTATCAAAAATAATTTTCTTTTCCTCATCATCGATTTGACTTACTTGTTGATTCATTAATGACAAATAATATTGCAGTTCACTATGACTAGTAATTAAAATACCTTGACCACGAGTATCATATTGTGGGCGACCAGCTCGACCAAGCATCTAGAAAAAGAATTTTTTCTAATTTTGAAAAATAAAAAAACATGAACTGTTCTCTTACCTGCATAACATCGAGAGCACCTAATTCTGTCCAACGACCTTTTTCTGGATTATAAACTTGAGTGCCTTTGATTATAACCGTATGCGCCGGTAAATTGACACCCCAAGCAAGTGTAGCTGTTGATACAAGTACTTGAATATGTCGTTCAGCAAAAAGATCTTCAACTAAAGTACGATCAGCTCGGTTCATACCAGCATGATGTATAGCAAATGAATATGGAAATAAATCTTTTAATTCCAAATTTTTCGTTTGTTCAGCTTCAGTACGAAGAATTTCCTGTGAAGCTGAACCTTCCTTGAGAAATGCGCCAATTGTGTCTTTTTCTAAACAAGCGTCACGTACGGCTCGTGCTGTTTTACCAGTTTCTTTTCTTGAATGTACAAAAATCAATACCTATGAAAAATTTCAAAAATTAATGATCAAAAAGAAAAACAATGACACTTACTTGATTTTTTCCTGCATGTTCCAACACTTTGTCATAAACAAGTTCATTCATAATTTGAAAGCGTTTAATAGCTTTTTTCTCAGTTATACCAATATACTGTTGTTCAAGTGGTACAGGTCGATAACTATTATCAAAATGAAATAAGCCTTCACGTTTAACATTGAGGAATGTAGCTATATCTTCATAATTAGGTAATGTTGCACTCAAACCAACGAAACGAACAGCGTCTTGCGTTGTTTCAATTGTACGTATTGTTCGTGCAATAACAGCTTCGAGTACAGGACCACGATCATCGTGTAATAAATGTACTTCATCAAGAATAATTAAACGAACTAGTTGTGTATAGGAACGTTCGCCACCTTTACGTGTGATAATATCCCATTTTTCTGGTGTACAAACAATTAATTGTGTTTCATTGATTTGTTCTCGTGATAATTGATGATCACCAGTTAATTCAGCTACTTTTAATCCAAATGGATTTAAACGTTTAGTGAAATTGCCGACAACTTCTTGTACGAGTGATCTCATTGGTGCGATATAAATCATTTTGAATTCGTCAACATTAATCGTACCATCGGACATCACATGTTTACCGATTTCACGTAATATACAAAGTAAAGCGACATTAGTTTTACCAGCACCCTGAAAGAAAATAAATTCAAAATTTTTCATAAAAATTTCTTAACTTACAGTTGGTGCACAGAGTAAAATATTTTCATCAGATTCTAAGGAGGCTTTAACCATACGTGATTGAATACGATTCAACACTTTATAACCTTCAAATGCTGGTTGAGCATATTTTGGTAAATTACCAATCGGATACAGAACCTACAATGTATTCATATCGGCATATAGAAAGACTCTCTTTGAAATTTACCTCTCCTGGATCAAGTGCTGATGGTTTAAGAGCAGGCACGTGTACTTCTTCATAACCTTTCTTTTGTAATCGATATGAACCATCTGGTAATCGACAACTTTTATTCGCCATATAATGACTTCCTTGAGCAAATGCAAGATCTTCCAAATTGACAACGTGCTGTGCATTACTTGTCGACTAAAAACAAAGTATGATTCTCATTCAAATATAGTTTATTTCAAAAAATTGAATTCACTTCAGTAGTTCCATTTTCTGTGTCCATTGCATCATTATCTCCATCTTCAGCACGACGTTTTTTTGATGAAGCGCGATGTTGATGATCATCCTAGTTAGTAAAATTTCATCATCGTAGAAATTAGTAGCAACAAGAAAAACTTACTAGTACATTATCACTTCGATCAGTTTCTGATAAAGCTTGTAGAATCCAAACTAGTTCTGGATCGTTTCTCATTTTTTCTTCAATTTTTTCTTTTTCAGACGCGATTTGTGATGAAGCAAGTAAAGTACAATAAAGAACTATAAACGAAAATAAAATAAATTATGATCGAATTGTTTGATAAGAAAAAAGAACATACTCATGTGACGATGTGTTCGTAAAGTTTTAATAAAATCAAATTGATCGTAGCCAAGTAAAGTTACAAGTTGATTTTCTAATTCTCTATCATCAGATGCCGTTTTGAGAATTTCAAGAAGCTCTTGTGCTTTTAATTTTGCATCTGTTGCTTCAGGATAAACTTTACTCAAGTTTCGTTGTAGCCAGAAAGCATCAATTGAATGTGGTTGCAAAGCCTTACTCGGACGAGTAAAATTATCATTTGCAGACTAAAGAAAATATGAGCATAGATGAAAAGCTAATCTTCGAAATAAAAAAAAATACATTGAAAATGGCGACGGCTAATTAGAGAGCTTTGAATGCAATTGTAATAAATACAAACGATTTTTTTCCCTCTAGAATCAAATATATATGCTTCTCCGAATGAGAAGAGTTTCGGGCGCGTACATCGCATTAATTTTAATAAATTTTGACTAGTCCGAAATGAATTTAAGTCTTTTTAAATTCCGTCTCATAATTTTGTTGTCTCACTATTCCTATTCGTGGATTGGCACTATCAAAACGCTGTTTAAAGCTTTTGTGTATGAAGAGCAAAAAATGATTTACCGCTTTATTGAGATTTTTTTCTTGAATTGTATAATCCATTTTTGCTTCTTCACCTTCTGACAAATCACCATCTTCATCTTCGTGTACTTCATTCTCATCGCCTTCATCTTCATCGCCAGAATCTTCAAATTCAACATTGACACCGTAGGTCTCATCGATTTCTTCATCTAAAAAAAAAATAGAGTCTTAGATTTATATCGAGAAAACATTTCGGATAATTTACCTTCTTTTCCGTTTTTATCATCCGTTGTCCAATCAGTAATTTTTTTTCCGAGATTTACAACAAATGCAAAACGTTGATCAGGAATTTTCGTACTTAATAATGTTTCAATTTCACTTTTACGATCCTTATCACGTAATTTATCATTTTTAAGTACAATCAAAACTTCATCAGCTGCACCGCATAAAATACTTCGCGCTTGATCACCAATGGCTTCTTGAATAAAACCAAGTAAAACTTCGTAAGTTTGTTTAGTTTCTTGAGTTTTTGGTCGATATAGTATAGTAGATGCATCATCAGCCGAGTCGCCAAGTAGAGTTTGACCTTTAAATCGTCCTATATCATATTTTGATGCATGATCTTCTTCTTTTTTTTGCTTTCTATTAGAAACAAGAAAAAAAATACTTATGAGAGAAAATATATATATATCGAGAAATACTACGAACTTATTACTACGTTCTGGCCGAGTACGTTGAGCTCGATCACCCATTTTAGTTCCTTTTAAATGACTCGTAAGAGAAAGTACTTCACCGGTCGCTTCGTTACGTCCACGTCGATCAATAATAGATCGATCTGCTTGTAAGACCAAATTGGAATTCTATTTAAAAAGAAGACGAAATTACTGTTTTTTTTAATTCAATTGAATTTATTCTACTTACAGCTTTGTATTCATATTGCGTACGGCGAGCAGTTTCATCGGCCATCGTACACTGTATAAATCTGGAAAAAGAATCTAAGCAATGTAGTTAATTCACACTAAAAATTAAGTAAGAATTGTGACGAAATAATACACACTAAGTACACAAATGAAATTAACAAAGACAGTAAAACTTCATTGGAGAGGTCGAGATCGATTCATTTGCTGGTAAACAATAATATGACATAGACTAGTGACATCTATTGAAACGATTGAGCTTTTAATCATAGATAGTTTTCCATTTAGAACTTTGCATAACTTGCACTGTTCTATGAATAGAAAGGCAAATCAGCGACAATTTTGGCGGAATGAATCGATTAAGTTGTGTATCTAATTATCCTTGAATAATTTTTGATGTAATGATTGCCGTTTTTTAAATATTCTGAATTTATGGTAATACTTAGGTTATTGGCCACCAATTTGCATGATAAAGAAAGAAAAGTAGTGGGAAGTAAATTTCAATCTTTAATCCGAAGTTTGATACGTATTTTCATCCATGCGAAATATGCAGTACTGATTTGGTTACAATTTGCAATTTTATTGGCTTATATAAACCGACAATTAAACTTGAACATTGATACAGTTATTATGGTAGGTTTTGAATTAAGGCGCGTGTGGTCAGTCAGAAGATTTAAATCCACACCCACTCTGTAGTATCTTCAGTTGCAGTTTCTCCCCCTTGTAAAATATTTTCTATGGTTGTGCAACTGAATGGATTATCTGAATTGACAATAACCCATTTTTTTCACCATATCTTTTTTGTTAGATGCAGCGACCAGTACATTTAATTTTTAATATGCTATTATTCTGTGTGCAACATGTGTTTGTATCTCCAAATGTCACATCAGTTTTTCAATTCACTGAAGAAGCACGAGCTGCTCTTTGTCCGTTTGTTGGTACTACAGGAATGAGATGCTTTGATGGCAGTTCTACACGTACTTCTGGTCGAAACTTTGAGTCGGACTTTATGAAATTACCACGTGGTGTCGGTATTAGTGTTGATAGAAGTACTGGTCGACTCATGGCTCCAGCAGTACAATTAACATATCCACCTATAGGGAGTCGTACTTGGACTGATGGTCATACAAGTGCAATTTTCGATTTATTTAATGAGGCCACATTGGGACCAGCTAACCGAGTAGCAGCCGCTTACGATACTGCTCGTGTTCATATTTTTCACAATGCTTCACAATTGAATGCAGCATGGCGATAAACATTTGCCGATGGGAAAGTTCGTGGTGGAGAATTAGCCCGCCGACCTGAAATGTTTGAATATTATGAGAAGTGAGTGTTTTCTTTTAGTGTACTCAACTGGCGTCTTATTTTCGCTTTGTAAAGATAGACTGTTCTTTTATTAGTAATTCATATCATATTTTCACTACTGTGCACTATATCGGACGCTGATAGAACCGCCAATGCTTGAGTTGTGAATCAATAAGTGCGTCTGGGAGTAATGATGCACAATTGATTTGTAACCTGTTGAATGATTATTAGTGGCATAGGAACGAAAATTGTCACGACTAGTGAAATACTAAGTAAGAAAATAGTCTCGGATCTTTCTCATATCCGGTTCGAAATATGTATTTTTCGTTGGAATCACCGTTCTGGTTGTTTCATAGAACAAGTAGCACTGTATGTTAACGAACTCAATGAAACAAAAGTGATCTTTCAATCACAAGTATCTCATTCATCAAAGTTTACAGACTTGTACTCAAATAGTTAGAAATCATTGAGCAGCCGATGTTAATGTTATCTGAATAAAACCCTTTGAAACAGCATGCTTTCCAACGTGCTTCAAATCTATAATAATTATTTACTTGTTGGATTCCTAAAGGAGACGATTGTGGGCACTTCAGGGTATTCAGGCAAAACCATACACTTTTTGTAATAAGTCAATAGAGCAAGTTGAATTGTTTTCTGATAACTAGGGTTACTATCTTGACGAAGGTGCGAGTGAGAATGTGGGCTAACTATGAAATCAGAGACACATTCACACTCCTCGATTATGATGTGTGGTGTTTGGATGAATTTAAAATAGTATTCTTAATATTTGGCACCAAAAAGTTTATGTTTTCTTAGTTACTTTAACCGTGAAGAAGCTTTGGCGCTGTCTCAACGTGTGATTGGCCTATACACACTAACAATAAATGCCTCAGCTGTTCAGCTTAATGAATTTGCACGTCACGCCCTTTCACAGCTAACAACAACGTTCGATTCAGACCTCTACGAGGATTTTATCAACACTTGTGGAACCCATGTTATAACTAGATCACTTGTGGGTGGCATGATCGAAGAGCGAGCTAAAGTACCCCGATGCTCTCGCGTTTATGATGATGCTAGTTTCGCTCATTGTATACCATTTGGTGACCGGGGTGCAATTAGTTCTAATTGTACCTACTATACAACTCAAATCCGCGTGATTTCAAAACGCCTTCTTGGCGGTAATGTGGAAATTGCCGACGGAAACGAATGGAAAAGAACGTTGGCTGTCGGACCTGCTCTCCTACAGATTCTGGAGATGGTTCCTTGGTATGACTTTATCACCAATAATGCGGTAAAACAAAACTTAATCACGATCATGCGGTATCGACAGACAAATTTCGATTTCATTCAAGCAGAATCAGCTCGACTAGTTGATTCACGTTTACAACCATGCATTTCAGGTGCTCAGACAATTATTAGTTCACTGTATAAGTCCTTAAGTATTCCATATCCTATTTTGAGAGTACGTTGGGTTAGTGATACCAATAGAGTATTGCCTAGTTCGTGTTCTCTGCACATATAGATTTAGTTGGACAGTAATAGATAGGATTATTTATTCGAGCAAGTTGTTTTTAGTGTTCGCCGCTAATTTTACTATGTCGATTTTACCTGTCGATATAAAGTTCAAAATGATTCTCAATATAACTAAGATATTGAGTTCCTCTTTACAAGATCTTCAAAAATGAGGAGAAAAAGAGTCGTCTTCTATGTGGAAGTAAAACTTTTGACAAATATGAAATTATATATAATAAAACTGTTCAAAGTATGTTTTACATTCATCTTTTGCGTTGGTCCGAAACCTCAAATATTAACCCTTACTCGATCGGCGATCTGCAAACTCTAAATATATTCGGATGTAAATTAATATGTTTAATCTGGAGTTCACAAAAGTCGATATTCAAACATAAGTTCGTACTATGATTAGCTAAAGAAGTTACTGCTCTATATTTTGAAGGCATTTGATAATCTTATTCGTGAGAATCAGCTATACAGCTTAATTCTGAGAAAAATAGTGCGCATAACAACTAGAAGAGTTAAGCTATAGATCTACCAGAAAAACTGATCAAAATGTGCAGAATTCGGTGTTAACTTTTGAACCACACCTGAATTTTCAGCAGAATTTTTTTCACGCTTTTAGCCTTCACAGGTCTACTAATGAATATCGGTTAACCTTTAAAGTTTCTTACGAAAAAGAAAGGCTAACTTGACAAATACTGTGAACAAGTTTGTCGAGAAATTGATTTTCTATCGAATGAGTTCAGTGTTAGACCTAAAAACGATTCTTAAAAGTACTTGCGAAATAGAAAGGAAAATTGCTTTTTGAAATGTACAAATAAAAAAAGACAGCAACATATCACCGTGTATTTTATATAAGTATAAGAAAACCGAAAAAAAGATGTGAACTTCACGTTTCAGTCACAATTAGGCTACACTAACAAGATTTTGTAATCAAGTCATTTTTTAGTATTGTATATTTCAAGGAAGCTTTTCATTTCTTTTCTAATCGTATTTTACGTTTGTCTCTAAATGTTTAAAAAATATTTACATCATTTCAGCTCCTCTCTGTTCGGCTCACATTAATTTCAATTCGACTTGGAAAAGGAATGGTGTTACTGTAGCTGGTGGAAATGGACCAGGCACTGGAACCAATCAACTCAATGTTCCATATGGTTTGTTTCTTGATAACGATCAAACACTTTACATAGCGGAATGGAGCAATCATCGTATTGTTGAACGGAAAAATTGGAGCGGCTTCCGGTCGAATTGCAGCTGGTGGAAATGGTCAACTGAAATATCCAAGTGATGTGATTCTTGATAAAGCAAGAGACAGTCTTTTCATTTGCGACCGGGGAAACAAACGTATTGTACGATGGTTTCTGCGAAATGCAAATAATGGGGAAACAATCATTTCTGGAGTAACATGCATGGGATTGACAATGGACGAACAAGGGTTTCTATATGTCAGCGATGTTGAAAAGCAAGAGGTGAGACGGTGGCAAGTCGGAGAAACTCAGGGAATAGTGGTGGCAGGTGGAAACGGGATAGGAAATCGACTTGACCAACTCAATGATCCTCGAAAAGTCTTTGTTGATCGTGATCATTCAGTGTATGTTTCCGAAATGGTGAATGATCGTGTGATGAAATGGGTAAAAGGAGCAAGAGAAGGAATAGTAGTGGCTGGCGGTCGTGGCAGAGGAAGTTCACTTTCTCAATTGAATCTTCCTGAAGGAATTATAGTTGATCAATTAGGAACTCTGTATGTTGCTGAGAGAGGCAATAATCGAATAGTGCGTTGGCCAAAAGGAGCAACAGAAGGACAGATTCTTGTTGGTGAAAGTAGTGCGGGATCTCTACAAAATCAACTCTTTGGACCAATCGGTTTATCGTTCGACCGACACGGCAACCTTTATGTGGCTGATCATGGGAATCACAGAGTTCAAAAGTTTGAAATCCAATTAGCGGCATGATCGTAGTTGTTAGCATTAATAGATGGTACTCATTGGCACTTAACTTGTCACTATGATATATCAATTACATCATATTAATCCTCTTTGATGTTTTCTCTTTGATCTGTCGGTCATTGGCCGCCTTGTGTTCCTCTCTCTCTCTCTTTAACCAGTTCAGTTATTGTTTATTATTTTCATCGACAGTTACCATCTTTATTAATACACACTTAATCTGTTGCCGTCCACAAACCTTAGTTCATCTTGATTAACGTCTTGTGCGAAAGTTTCTGGACAAAATGTTCGTTCATTTTCCGATCAATTGCAAGAGTTAGCCAAATTTTAAAAACACTATGTTAGAATCAAAATTTTGTGTTCTTTCAGAATCTGCGTTCAGAATTTTTCTAAGACACTTAGATTAGAAATTATCCTTGAAGTTTTGAAAGGCGCGAAAATAACGTTTGGACGGTTTTCAATACCAAAAATATAAACCAAGATAGATGTAAAAAATTATTCTGCGTACCGCAAGTGATACAGCAAAGATTTCCTTATAAAACTGTATCCTAATAATTATTCAGCTTTGAAGCTTCTTCGAATAGTAAGAGTCTTAGTAAAAGGTTCAATGACGTTTTTGAAAAGGATTATTTTTCGCATATCAAAATGACCTCTATTGTTTCTGAAAAACTGGTGAAAAACTATCAATTCTCAGCTTCTGGAGGACCATCGTGCTCTTTACACCGTCAAAAAAGATGGATAATGTATAATAAGTTAATTATCACTTTTGGAGGGCGTATACAACCCAAATATTGATCGAAAAAGATCCAAACTGCTATGTGATTAAGCAAAGGAAACTGGAACTAAGTTATATTGGCTTTCTTTAATTAGAAAACAAGAAAAATATCATTTAATCAATTTCAAATCGGACATGATCGGATTTTCCGCCTCTAAATTTTTTAGTTCATGCAGTTTCGTCCAAATTTTATTTTCGCGCCTTTCAAAACTGCAAGTATAATTTCTAATCTGAGTGCCTCACAAAAATTCTGAACACAGATTCAGAGAGAACACAAAATTTTGATTCTAATACAATGTTTTTAAAATTTGGCTAACTCTTGCAATTGATCGGAAAATGAACGAACATTTTGCCTAGAAACTTTCGCACAAGACGTTATGTCCAGCAAGTACGGGTAAGCCGTTTCAAAGTGAACTCTCATTACCTGTAGGCAAATATATTTTCCCCAAAGATATATTACAATTTAGCCTACGTGATACATGGAGGATAAAGCCTTATTGGGAGTCTCACAGCAGTCTTCGATAAACTCTTAATTTCTTGTTATATTATACTTTTCATTCTAATGAATAACGGGGTGTGGGTGTGAGATTGTATCGAGACAATTTTGATGTAATCAAGTGTTTGAACAGATGCTTATGTTGAACTTTTCATTAATTCGAATTGTTCAAAGACTACAAAAAATACATATTTCAGAGGTTATACTATTACAACCAGTGGAAACTTGTTTTGTTTTCAATGTAATAGGATGCTTTCCATGAGTTTGCGTATCATCGTCTGTGTTTACTTTGCCTGATGATTAGAATGTCTTCAGCTTAGTTAGTATTTTTGCAAAAATATACGTTGCTTTGGTGTTTGCATGACTTACAAGTAGTTGGGTCATGATCATAGCTGATTTCTGGTAGTTTTAATGCACGTTGTTACCGTTGTCATTTGAATAGCCCCAAAGTTTTCGACTGTATGATTTTACTTTTACATTTTTTTCCCAAGAAAATATTTTTAGAGAACGCACTGATCGAATGAAACGCTGCTGAATGCTTCAGACAGTGGTCAAAGAATACTCGTTCACTTAATCAAATACATTTCTGATTCCAGTAGAAGCTTTGAGCGTTCTGACTGTGTATGAACTTGGAATTTTCAATTTAGGGGTGCGGATGTCAATCCCCTAATCAACCGTACGCACGACCACGTCCACACCTCCAGGATCGCTTTTGTGGAACTCACATATTTTCGAAGAAAATGGTGAGTGTAAATTTAAAAGCGAGATTTTTGCGGCTCCCCTCCCCCATTACAGACCTTAATGAGTTTAAATTTGTGCTAATTAGGAGCTTGATTAATTAGACTGCTATTTATTCCTTTGTTTAATTACAAACTACACGAAGAAAGCAATGTTTGCCGACTACAGACATAAGCAAATAGGCAATGACCTAATTATAGGTTTTGGAAATCAGGGTAGATTTTTTAGATGAACTATTTTGAATTATTTTAGTAAGCCGAAGGGATATATGTGAGTTCCACATTTTAGCCCCAAAGGGGCTGCGCTAACAAGTTTTCTTGCCACAATAGATGATACACAATAGAATCTATTATCTCATTATTTCAAATAGACTGCAATACAAGCATCGCAATATTCTCCAGAATGCAGCGATAAATACTTCTGTAGCAAAATTTTTAATCATTTCTACACACCAATAACTGTTTATTTACATCATTCTCATTCGATAACATTTCTCCATGCAAAAAACGTTTTGTTAATGTCACTAAAAGAAATTAAAGAAAAAATTAATTGAATCAACCTGAAAAGTCATCGCATCCATTTATTTCAAACTTTGCAGCTCCAAAAATTACGTTTCTTCTTTCTACTATCCAATATGGGTGAATATGTTGTGGTACGCTCGAAAGATTTTTTCATTCATTGTATCAAAGGTTTTTCGTTTTTCGAGAGCATTTTCGTTGGACCTGTTTCTGGTGCTGCGTGACTTGTTACTGTAAGGAAGATGATTTTCTTAGTCTTTATTGATTCAATATGTTTATTGTGGCTGAATTCTGTAGGCATTTTTCTGCTTCAAATAATCATTTGTGCCACCGAGGAGATATTTGTCGAATACTTGAAAATATTAGTCATTTTGATTCAGAAATTCGTATGATATCGAGGTGTTTGTTTTGCATCTGACAAAAGTCAAGTTGTTTTTCTTTCGCTTTTCTCAATTAAAGAAGCTTTATGTGCTCTATAGAAATATAGACAAGACATAAAGCAAGCAGAAATAGGCTAAACAAAACTCTACGTATAAAACAAGTAGCGAGAGAAAATAGAAAGAAGAGAATCGAAGCCGCACATGATAATACAGAAAAAAAGAAAGGAAAAAAGATCCATTATCAAAACGCTGCCTGATATTTGTATCAATAGTAATTTTTTTTATAAGTTTCGATACTGTCCTCGCTTGCCATCTCATAGATGGTTGCTCTTAACTTTTAAGATATTTGCATTTCTGTTTGTCCTTAGATACAACACGTGGCAAAACGGCATAGCTTCTTACAAGAGCGATTACAACGTTAAATACAGTATCTTTTCGTAAAAACTTTCATTCTTTTTCTCATAGAATCAAAAGATGACAGATACGCTACGCTTGTTCCTTGTGCTATTCCTAATAACTACAGAAAATAATGCTTTATATTGCCCAAATCAAAAATCCATTGAACAATCTCTTGCTGAATCGAATATACCAGGTGCAGTCATTGTTGTTGTTAATGCTACTGATGTACTCTATGAACAAGCATTCGGTTATCAATCTATTTTACCGCAAGTATCTATGAATGTGGATAAATCAATTTTTACTATTGCTTCCATATCGAAAACATTCATAGCCGTTGCTGTCATGCAGCTAGTCGAAAAACAGTTGATCGATCTTGATACAGACATAAATCAATATCTATCTGAACCTGATCGGAAAATTTTTCATCCACATTATCCTTCTCATTCAATCACTCTACGCAAATTACTTTCTCATTCGGCTTCTATTGCTGTCAACACTCAAGGCTGGATTAATTTGTACAGGCCGGGTGATAGTGCTTTTATGGAAACAACTTTAGCAGATATGTGTTTCACATATATCAATCCAAACACATCGAATTGGTTGCCAGAACCGCCAGGTAGCGTCACGTATTACTCGAATGAAGGCTCAGCTCTTGCTGCGTTAGTCGTTGAAAGAATGACAAAAATGCCTTATGATCAGTATGTTTTGAAAAACATTTTCAAGCCATTGAACATAGATATTACAAAAATGGGCGTTCACCTAGCTGATTTCGAGAATCAAGAAGACCTTGTACGCCACTATACATATGCATCAAATGCCTCTTATCTTCCAGTATGGAAACAACTATTACCACAATTTAATCTTACACCGCTATCGGTAAATGAATACATATCATTATCAGTTTAATATTTCGCCTGGTTTTGTTAAAATCTTTTTAGACAACTTTTCCAACATGGATAGAGTTCCCATTCTTCAGTATTATTGGATATCCTGCAGGCCTTTGGCGTATGTCTGCACGTTCTCTGTCAATATTTCTTCGTATGATCATGAGCCAAGGATCTACCATTGTTACTCGACAATCCATCGCCGCAATGCGAACAATTGTAGGCGGTGGTCGTATTCCTTATCACCAAAAAAAGCCAAGTAAAAACGCTAAAGAGCTTCTTCAGGAGCCACATTTTGGACTATGTTGGTATTGGGAAACAACTAGCAAAGGTGTTCGGTACATGGGGCATAGTGGTACATTATTGGGCATGAAACATTTGATATTGATTAATGAGAAGAACACTGTAGGTGTCATTGTCCTTACAAACGGAGATAATCGTCAAACGATCTATTTATCAAGAGAAAATCTTGGAACAATTACAAATATTCACATGTCATTGTTTCAATGTTTTGAATCAAATGCTAATAAGTCCATTTCATTTCGTAGAGATGGAAGACTATTGGGATATTTTTATACTGTTATGTGTGTTTGTCTAGCATTATTGATCAATAAGTAGTCACTGTTACTTATTTCACCATAACTGCTTAAAAAAGACGCTTTTCAAATAAATATGCTTATATTCGGAAAAAAAATCGTAGCTAACTCATTTAGCTAGGTATTTTAAATGTAGCGTAGTTTCAAGCAAATCAAAGCGTCTCGAGCAAAATTCAATTATGAACTAATTAATCAAAACAGCTGATTTTCTTTTTCTTCTTTATTGTTTGTCGTCGTCATACATAATATTCTTCTCAACCAATAGGAGGTAGCTTTTCCTCAAACCTATTCGGATAATGAAAAGAAGAAACATAATAATCGAAATAAATTTGTTTCTTCTTGACACATCAAAACAAGAGAGCCAATACCAATTATTTTTCTCATACAGATGTCTAAATAAGATCAATATACCTAAGTTTTTAAGTAAACAGGTACAATCAGATTTGATTTTAAATTGAGTGATCTATGCGATTGAAAACTGTGTTACATACAGCCTGTATTTGAGATCGAATATTGTCTAGATTATTGAGGACAAAACGATATGGGTGTGGATTCGAAGAAGCTATATATCCGCATCTACACACCCACACCCTCGAGAAAAGACAAGAAATGACTAGTGCGAGAGCAGGCCCGTAACAACTTGATAAACTGAAATTCGTATCTAGAGAAAAATAAATGAGATACGATAAAAAAGAAAAGAAAGTGTTTTCTCTTGCCAGCGTATGTCGAATACATCGAACAGGTTCCTGAGCTGCTTGGCAAACTGAAACTTGAATATAAAGAAAAATGAAAAGTATATAGAATCAAAAAGAAAGCGTTTTCTATTACCGGTATATGTTGAATCAACAGGCTAGCTTTCAGTACCATTTCGTACATTGAAATTTGAATCTAGAGAAAACGAAAACATGGTTAATGTGAAAAAAGATCGAAGTGGGTTACCCGTTTCTATTTGTTTCAAATGTTTTGTTTGTTTCTCATATTTGCTATACAATTCACAAATTTTTCCATTGATGCTAGAAACGGGATAAATTTAATAGAGATCAGAACAATCAGAATAAAAGACACGTACTAGCTTTCTTTTGTCAGATCAGCCTCTTGTAATTCTGCGCTAGCTTGTTTTGGTTTGTTGGGTTCCTAAAAAAATTACGATTGGAAATAAAATATGCGATATTTCAATGATGAGCTACTTCGAAACAACAAATTAAATTTTTATCGGACAGAAACAATTGAACTGCAACTGGATTAAAATTTTGTTTGTGGTAAATTGATTTGATTGAAGTCATAATTAGGTTGTATCCAAATTTGAGTGATATCAATTTTCTTTTTAAACAAATACATATAGATTTTGGCAAGGACAACATTTTTTCTTACTTGCCCATCTTGCATTGAAACATAATTGTTTTTGATTTTAAATAGTAATGCGTAATGACAACACACAATTCACGAATATTTTCGATAAATGTCTATTTATTTAATACTTCTATTAATGTTGAGTGTGGGTGCATATTTTCTTCGAATTCACATCCACACCCTCGAGCCAATACCATATTCCCTCTTCGAAAAATGCAGCAATGCTTATTTGACTCAGCCTTCGCTTGAATAATATTAATTTTGAGTGTATTATTATGAATAATAAGGAAGTGCAATATTCATTTCAAGTGCTAAAATTATTCACCTCATCTTTCAGGCGTGCATTTTTAGTTTAGGGCATATATAAAAGGAGTCGGTGGTCTATAGGATAGATCAATATTTCGAAACATCGTGTAGGAAACAAACATTACCTCACACTCATCCCAAGTATCCACATAAATATTGTGTTTTGTTCATTTTGAACCATGGCGACAACGTGGATTATGATAAATTTTATACTAGCAATAGCCGTGGGATATGTATGTGGCGATACCATCCAAATTTTATCGGGCAGACGAATGGATAGCAATGCTTTCATTCGATCCGAAAAGATTTACAAAAAGTTTCAAACGCCAACAAGCTTTCTTATTAATGGTGCATCTAATATATATGGGAAAGTGACTGGCTTCACTACTGCGTTTCATCATACTGTACCTCTCTTGTATAAAATTACTTTTGATGCAATATGCACTAATCCAAAGGGTACTATATGGGTATTCCCTCGGATTATGGTCAATAATCAACTTTTCTATAACGATAGGTTTATACCGAATACTGACGATCGTTACACATTAATTCCGGGATATACTGAAGTTCATTCATTTGATCATATTGGTGCAGGACAATACGCTTTTCTTTCAGGGATAGCGACTACAATCAGAAAGTCAGAATTGATTTATTTACAACCAGGCTTACACGTAATTGATGTTGCAGTTCGAGCTACCGGGAATATGCCAGTTCAAATTTATTTTGGTGTATTAACGATTGAATTAGTTGAGTTTAATGATGCGGCAAGTATTGGCGGAATGGTACCGATGAATGTTACATCCATTAATTGAAAACAAAAACAGAATTATTAAAAACAGTTTGCTTCTATAGTAATCAGTTTTCAATTTAGAATGCGTAATAAAATTCTCTGAAAGTCATCGATCACGTATCATTTTTCATACAAACAAAATAAAAAGTTGATATTTTCGAAGTTTGAAAGAGACTTTGTAATTCTGTCTTTTTCTTTCTATGATTTAAAAATGTTACGTTCATGATTCATACCCTCATATCCAAGTAGAAGCCTCGTTCATTTTTTATCCACATTCAAATGCACACCACACCACACCACACCACCATAATCACATTCCACAAAGAACTATACTGGCAAGATTCAAGTCAAAATGAAATATTAAATATATAATTTATTAATTTGAGCTCATTTACATAATTACAAAATACTTCTTCAATAAATTCTCAACAACTGTTTTTCACGCATCCAAATTTCAGTTTGAGTAAATGTAGCATGCATTTGTTGATTCACACAATATTCATATTCACGATTGAGTGCATATTTTATTTCTGCTTAGACATTCAAATTGTTAGATTCAATCAATGGAAATATTCTGTAATCGGATTAGTGCATTGCCATTAAGAATTAAATCCATATTTAAAATCATCGAGTTCTTTTTCTAGAAAATACTAGATTTGTCCTATACTTTCGTCGAAATATACGCTGTGAATACTTTTGTAGCACTTGAAATGGCCCAAATTGAAATAGCAGCAAAACTAGTCAATGGCTCAAACGAATTTGATAGGTTCAACTCATTGCTATGATCGTTTGGCTAGGTGGAGTGCGAAAATAAGTGCAATTAAGGTTCCAAGGAATCTGTATTAAGATTTGGTTGAACGCTTTGAAGTGATGTGTGGGTCCAACAAACTCAAGCTAGTCATCTGGCTCATATATTCATCGGACAGTCTGCAACCACACGCACATCCTCAATATTCATCTTCAAAACATCATTCCACGATAGAAATGGAAATATATGTTTAATCTATAAAGTGCATTATGAACCCAAGACGTTTCAAAATATAGCACCGATATGTTCTTACAATGTACACTGACTCATGCTTGTAGATATATCTAAAGGAAAAAGTACAAGTACACATCACGTGCCGTAAAGAAAGGAAAAAAGAAGCATGTCGATACCACAGCAGCTATTAAAAACGAGTAATAAACAAGCGAAGGAAAAAACGGATAGGAAGCTATGTATTTTATGTGTGCTGTTGTTATTATGATATTATTTCGCTTCAAGAAAATCCATCCGCATACGATTGTTGCAAAAAAATCTGATACGCCCGTTATTTACTTAGAAACGCTATCATGAGCAGATATGATATTCCGGCTTCTCTGACGTAAGCAGAAAAAGTGATAATAAGAAGAAAAAAAATCTGCATAGCCTTCGACCAAATCTTTCTTTCTATTGCAAAGGTAACCATGAATTTCGTTTTTTTTCTGTCACAATAACTTTCTTTTCATTTTCATTTTCATTTATGATGTCTTTACGATAAGAGATCAATTCTTTTTGATGATGATGACGAAGATATTTTTGTTAAATCTTTTAATTGGTATTATCTATTGCAAAAATGCAAACGAATGGCGTTCAAGATCTATTTATCAGATATTAACTGATCGATTTTCTCCGGAAAATTTTTCCTATACGAAATGTATGGAACAACCAATTACAGAATATTCAATGAGACATTATTGTGGTGGAACGTATCGAGGTGCTATTGATCAATTGGATTATGTCGTTGAAATGGGTTTTAATGCAATATGGATTTCACCAATACCATCCAATACTGATATAGAGACTATTTACGGAGTCGGTTGGCATGGCTATTGGCAAGATAATATTTATCAGCTAAATAAATATTTCGGTCAAGAACAAGATTTAATTAATTTCATTGATGAAGCACATAAACGTGATATTTGGATTATGTTAGATGTTGTTGCCAATCATGTCGGACCCAACGTAACAAATAATTACTACGTCCCATTCAATAAAAGTGAATATTTTCATCAACCGTTATGTTTGATTAAGGATTATTCAAATCAAACAGAAGTAAAAACAAACGAAAACGAGATATTTTTGAAAAACAATGTTCACTGATTTATTTCAGGTTGAATTTTGTTCGCTTGGTAGCGAAAGAAGTGTTTTACCTGATTTAAATACAGAACACGATTTTGTAGTATCAGCATTTGTTTCTTGGATCAATGAAACCATAATGAAATATAAATTTGATGCTATTCGTATTGATACATTTCGTCATGTTCGAAAGTCGTTTTGGAAAGATTACAATCGTTATTCAGGTGTTTACTCTCTCGGAGAAGTGGCAACATCCGACACGTCGTACGTTGGTGCCTATCAGAATGTTGCTGATGGAATTCTTCATTACCCACTTTATTTTTTATTAAATCAAGCTTTTCAAGATAACGATCAATCAAGACAATCAATGTTCGTTATTGAAAATCAAGTTCAAGAAAATGAAAAATATTTCAATGATACAACTTTATGTGGAATATTTTTAGATAATCATGATCAAGATAGATTTTTAAATCATACTCAAAATTCAGTACGCATTCAAAATGCTCTTGTCTATCTAATGTTCAGTGATGGAATTCCGATTGTTTACATGGGTACAGAACAAAATTTTACCGGAAATCCAAATGAAAAATATGGTGCAACAGATCCATGGAATCGTGAACCGTTGTGGAAGTCGGGATATAACCGTTCAATGTGGATATATAAATATTTAGCTAAACTTAATCAAATTCGTTCGTTACTCAAAGAACAATATAATGAAGAATTTTTTATATCCCATCAACAAACAATGCTTATTGATAATGATACTTATGTGTATAAGAAAGGTCCACTTGTAATCGTTGTTTCAAATCAATCGTTTAATCGAACAAAAAAACTTTCATTCGGTTCAACTGTAGTTTCCAATCGATGGAAAGATTTACTTACTAATAAAATCTATGAAATCGATAATAATAACGAACTAGAAATCGATAGTTGGCAACCGAAACTTCTTCTTCCTGTTTCATCATCTGCATCGATTTTTTCGTCGTGCTTAGCGGTGTTAAGTTTTTTATTATCATTTTTTTTCAATATGAATAAATAATAGAGTTATTTTAGAAATTCGTCTTTTCTCTATTCTATTTATCTCCGAGGAATCATCAGGCTTCGCGTCCGTCGATTGATACGAGAGCGACAAAACTTTCTTTGAAAATAGTTTTCTTGTTATTTGCATTGCTTGATCAAATTCTGAAAGAGTTTGTATCCACCAGTAGAAATATCCCCCCTCTTATCTCTATCTCACTTAATAATATAAAAACTTCATTCAATACGGATCACTCATATTTTCAAACTAATGAAACATACAGAAAAGTAATAAACTCAATCGCCTATATTTTATTCAAATTTTCATTTTTCTACGATTACAGAATTTCACATAAGAAAGAGAAAAAGATTTCGCATTGCTAAACAGGCATTATTGTTTTTGTCTTTCTGTCGATATTACGTTGCTATTTACAACTTGAAAATGGTAAAAGGACGTATAGAACATACGTTTCTCACCTGACAATTGTAATTGTCAAAAAGCAGACGTTATCTATTTTTGATTGTTATCTTACACAGTAAATCTGCACTTTGCATAACGTAAAAAGAGTTGAAATCATTCCTCGTTCTTCAACACAAAATGGCAAACATACATCGTGTAAAGCAGTTTTTTAAATCTTGGTGGCGTCTATTGATAATAGCACTCACTCCGCTTATTTTACTTCCACTTCCAATAGTTGTGAATTCGATCGTAAATATTCAATCTTATTTTTCTATGTAAAATTGTTTAGTTTCAAATAATTTATCATTTTCTAGCAAGCAAAATGTGCCTATGTTGTTCTTCTACTTACAATATACTGGGTGTTCGAAGTAATGCCCTATGCAGTAACTTCTTTGCTTCCTCTTGCATTTTTTCCTATGGCTGGCGTTATATCTGGTGACGAGATCGGCCATAATTATTTCAAAGTGAATAAATCTTTTTTTGTTGTTACTGTCTTTTAATTACATTACTCCGCATAAATGCTTTTACTATAGGATATTTCAACTCTATTTCTTGGCAGTATGATTTTGGCTCATGCAATGGAACATGTCCAGTTACATCGTCGACTAGCATTATTCGTACTGAAAATTGTTGGTTCATCAGTGAAATGGTGAGTATTTTAGTTATTACGTAATGATCTCCTGTACATTAATTACTCTTCGTACTTTTGAAATAAATACTTTTGTTGTTGATGAATAGGAGTATGGCTGGTCTAATGATTGTCACTGCTTTTTTGAGTATGTGGATCAATAATTCAGCTGCGACAAGTATCATGATACCGGCTGCAATCGCCATTATAGATGAATTTAAAAGTTATGACCAACAACACCATCAAACAAATCAAAGCCAACGAGAACCCGAAGAAATATTATCCGTGAATGGATTGAGTAATCAAAAAAAACAGATCATTATGTTTTAGTTTATCTCAGCTATATCATCATCATCATTTTTCAGCTCTGCTTCCGATGCAAATAATTGGTAGCAGCGATGATGACGAACCACTATTAGCTCAGGAAAGTTGCGATGAAAGGGCAATAGAGTAAGATTCCTTTGGAGAAACTATCATATCAATAAAATATAGTTTACTTTATGATAGACTTTCTCCACCCATTGATCATCGATCTTCCAGCTCAGCAAGGGAATTTCCTCTTACAAAACAGCAAATTGACTATAAACAACTAAAAACTGGTAGCAACATAAAGAAAATAATGTGTTATATATTCTCTTGTTTATGTTTTTTTTTTGAAGGTTTTCTTATATCAGTAGCTTATAGCGCCGCTGTAGGTGGCATGGGTACACTTGTTGGAACTGGTCCAAATATCTTCGTCAAAGGATTCACTGATCAGTAAGCATCTATTCACTAGGCGAACTTTGAACAATCTCACTCTATCTTCTATTCAAATCAAGATTTTATTCGAATGGATCAACTGCTTTCGAAGTATCATTTGCTAATTTCACCTTGTTTGCCTTTCCAATGAGTCTGGTCTTGATTGTACTCTGCTGGTTTTGGTTACAACTATTGTACAATCGTAAAGAGTTACATTAATTTTTGCTTTTTTTATTTTCATATTTGCACATAACTATTTTAGGCTATTTCAATGGAGAAAAGTCGATGCAAGTGTACAGGAATCTCAAAAACATGTGCAATCTATTCTTAAGCAACAATACAAAGCATTAGGCTCCATGAGTTGGCAGGAAGGCACTATTATCATTCTGTTTTTTATTTTACTCATTTTGTGGGTAACACGAGATTTTTCCAATATAAACGGATGGAGCGTTTTGTTTCGAAAAGAGTGAGTAATAATCGATAGATGATGGGTCAACATTGGTTTTGCTTTAGATACGTCACAGATGGAACCGCAGCTCTACTTATTGGCTCATTGCCACTTATTTTACCCAATAAGAATCCACTTAAAAGTACTGCATATAATATAGTTTCGTTTTGGTTATAGACGATTTTATTTCAGAAAATTGGGACTATAATCCAATTCTTGAATGGAGTCATCTCTCAAAAGTATTTCCATGGGGTGTTTTTATGTTGCAAGGTGCTGGTTTAGCTATCGCTGACGGATTTAAGGTATATTTCAAGAAGTAAATTAAATATTCTAACTATATTAGGCAATTTCAAGAAATCGGATTTATCGAGCACAATAGCTACCTTTCTTCAATTCATCGTTGGAACATCTAGAACAGTCACAATTCTTATCGTTATTATCGTTAGTGCTATTTTGACTGAATTCACAAGCAATCTTGCTTGTGCTAGCATACTTTTTCCTATTCTCGATGGCATGGTTAGAACATATCATTTTTTGCTTTCACTATTACAATGAAATGTATTGAATGTGTTTTTGTTTTGAAGGCAAAATCAACTAAAATCCATCCCGCGTACCTGATCATGTCGTCGTGCATGGGAGTTTCACTCTCATTAATGTTACCAATTGGTAAATCGCGTGTTCAATGAAATTTAATATATCTCTTCATACCTTTCTAGCTACACCACCGAATGCCATGATATTTGCAAGTGGTGATGTTAGAATTCGTGATTTGATCAGGGCTGGCGTTGGGTTTAAAATTATTGGCATTCTTGTGATTTTCCTTGCATCAGTGACTGTATTAGCGCCTATATTTCGTATTCACTAAATCGTATCGAGACGAAATCTCACATTATTATAATGAATAGTAGGATTTACATGTGAAATGAGAACTGTATGAAAGACGAACTACAAAAAGTGTTGAAGTATATATGGTAGAGATTTGCATACATTTCCCCTCACACACAGGTAGCGTAAGACGTTTTAATTATTTAATTCACTAAAAAAATGATTTAATCGTAAACTATAATAGACCGTTTTTAGAAACCCTGATCAACCGTGACAGGCGAACTTTTCATATTTTCAATTTCACAGAGATTGTGCTAATAGTTTTTCCTATAAGAGAAAACTTTCTGTGATAGTTACAATTAATACAATCATTTGTTTGAAAGTCAACTTGCATAATATGTTTACATTTATTATAAATGTATGTGAGAAATATAGCTGCTGTCAGTATTCATTTATCTTTAGGAATTAAGAAAAAGAAATATCGCTAAGAATTATTTTACTGAAAACTACATAAATTTTAATTACAGGCTGAAATTTCTATTCTTTCTCGCCTGCATCTTATCCATACTATATTGCAATGTGCTCAAGACACAGCGCCCATAGAATCACCACGCATGACAGACAGTGAATTGTAATTGGTTAACATGCGGCACTCGCGTGTTTGACTGTTAAAATTGCTTAGGGCAGAAACAAAAGGAAAGAAAATAAACGCAATTAGTATTGAAAAAAGGCAATCAACGAAAATAATGGCATATACTGCTTTTCTCGCTATGACCAGCAGGATGCTTTTGTAATACAAATATAAGATGCATTTTAACTCAAAATGGCATTTAGAACTCGCATAAGCAACTATGAAACTTTTTCTTTCATTGGATGCGACATAAAAATTGTTAAACGGATTGAATGATAATTTATTCAAGTGGACTCACACGGCTAACGGTATTCAAAAAACTGGCAAAATCGCTGTCTTTGCTTATGGATCATTGCTATGGTATCCCATTGAGCATGAGAGTGAAACTATTGACGGCTGTATGGTTCGCGAACACAAAAAATAATTTAATTACCAAGATTTTGCTTGTCGCAGTACCATGAGTTCTACTGGTTTGACAATGGGTTGATGTTCAGTTCCCCACGAATATGTGATGGGTTCATTGTTGATTTCGAGTGGTAATCAAATCATTCCATTTATTGAAGCATTTGTAAAACGAGAAACTCCTGTTAGTAAAGATGAATTTGTGATGAACATATATGCATATGACTTTGTAGAGATTATGACTGCCATATCATATCACTAGCCAATCCGCTTTAATATGCTTGGCCAATGAGAAAAGTGCATCCTATTTAAAGCAACCGCTCGCTTTTAAAGAACAATCCGAGAAAATCACACGAGCCTCCGGATTCAGTGGAACTAATTTACAGTATTTAACAAAGCTAGTTCAATTCCACCGTGCGTTGAAAATAGATGATTCATCCACAGTTGAAATTAGAGAGCTCTGTGATAAGTTTCTATTGTGTCGACAACATTCGTTGATGAACAATTCGAAATGGTTGAATATGTACGATCAAATAAAAACTCCACAAAAACATCAGGACGCATTAAGTGCAAGAACAATGACAATTGTGAAAGCAGAGATGGGCAAGTGGGCGATTTTTCGACCCAGGTCACGCCAAGTAAAGTTATTTTTGAATTGCCCATCTCTGGACGAAAGTATGCCTAGAATTAAATATTCAGATTTACGTTTTAGAGAAAAAAAGAATCAATGAGCCATGCTATCAATTATCAATCAAACTAATGCTGGCCATCAGATCAATTGTAGCTCGAATATTCAATGCATTGTACAGCTGCCATTTGAATGAAAAATCACTTTTGTTTGTTTTGTTTTTGTAAAACATTGCTGCAGATAAAAAAAATTCAGAAATATTTGTTCGTACCATGTAAAGTTATTCAAAATAAATATGAGACATCAATATTCTTGGTGTGAAAAGTTGTTTTGCAAAATCATTGACGAACATTAACAAATGAATGAAACTAATCGAAAAGTTGTGTCTTAATCTTTCGCTCTATTGCTGTTAGTAGATTGTATAGAAAACTGGTCTAGTAAAGATGGAAGCAAAAAGCATTAACAATATTATTTTGTATGAAAAGAAATATACAGTAAAATTAAAGAACAGTGACGTTATTTATGCATATGTATGAGTCATCATAGTATGTATCGAGAAAATTACATGATACAATGAGTCAGCGCGTATATGAATCGTCCCAGGTCAATGATTCCGGAGGACGGATACCGTAGCAACCGGCTGGAAAGATGCGGAAAAATCGCCGTATCTGGTCAGAAAGCACGGGTAAGCGGTGAAAAGTGGAAGCAGTATTCCGGTCGGGGATTTCCGGAGTTTTTCCTGTGGATTTCAGTCAACTTCCAGCCGGAAAGCACAGAAAGCTGGCTGGAATCCACAGGAAAAAAATCCGGTAAATTTCGACCGGAATACTGCTTCCACTTTCCAGCGCTTTCCCGTGCTTTCCGGTCGTTTCCCACCGTACCTCCACGACCTGGGGTCAAAACATTATGTTGCTGTTTATTTTTATTCTGTCAATGCAAAATATAAATATTGACCAACCTTATCTTTTGAAACGCAATGTGCTCTGTAAACAAAGAACACGTCAACTCATCTACTGGCTAAAACTGAATGACGGACGGTGTACAGCTGCACATTTGCAGTAGTTTTACGAAAAAAAGGTTTCTAAAATCAGAATTTTCGTTTCATTTTGTTCATACGAAGATAAAAGCGTTTCATACATATAAGAGCAAAGGAAAAAATCTGCCATAGCTGGACAGGACGTTTTTATAGGAACAAAAGCTGATTTAGAATCCTCTGGTAGAAAATGGTTGAAAACTAGCGACAGCATCATTTTTATTCCGTCGAAGAAATTATAGAAATATACATGAAAACTATGAGCAACCGAGTACAATATTCGAACGAGACGTTGAAATGTATCAGCGTGGTTTCATGTAAATATTTTGGTTTTTATTATTGCAGATGTTTTTACTGTTGTTGACGTCATCACAATATAAATATATTACCATACCAGCTGAATGTTTTTTTTTCTTTCTCTCATTCTGTTTCTTTAGCTACCCGTTAGATGTTGTTTTTTTTTTCGCCAAATGCGATCACATTGTAGTTTGCTGCTTGTTTCAAAACTTTATAAATTTTTTTCACTTGCTGTAATGGTTGGTTTTCTCCAATAACGGCTGACTATATATTAACTTTGAGGTAATCAATTTTATGGTTAATCTTCTAGGTCATATCGAACTCTTTATATCTAGTGGATAATAATGAAAATAAAATTCAGTGGATGGAGCTGTAGTTCGAAATTTTGTATTGTTCAAGAAGTGCAACCGAATGATATAATCGAAGCTGTAGTATTTAAAATTGAACAGGCCATCCCTTGCACAAAAATTACTAATGTTATACATGATGGTAGGAAATTAAATAAAACAAAATCCTTTGAATATTATGGTATTTCCGATGGAACTTTAATAGACGTGCAAACAGATACCGAAGATGCAACGTCTAGAAAAACAGTTTGTATGGGTTGCAGCTACCATAATTTGGTACATTTATCAGCGAATGTTGCCCGAGTGCATGAAACCAGATCTCACTTCAGTCAAGAAGCTACTCATGCTTCTCTGCATCAATGGATGCAAAAGTTGAACCCTAAAGATCAAACTAAAATTATACAATTCATTAATTCAGCTAGTGATGGTCTCAAAACTCGATTTATGGTTTGCATTAAAGATATGTTTGAAGTCTATGTAAAAAAATATAGAAATATAGAATATGCTAATCTTATAGATTTTGATTATTGTGAATTATTAAATGAATTACGTTGCCCAGTATGTTGTACTAAGTTTTCTCTTCATCCACACTCGCCGATCACTCCAATTCAGTTGTGTACCATCAGTGACAAACATTATACATGCCATGAATGTGTCAGCAAAGTTAAGTGTTGCCCATTGTGTAAGGGAGAAATTCATACCCAAGCTGTTACTTCTAAATATGTTATGAAGCTCCTTCGGGCAAGCAAGCAAAAAATTGAAGTATACTGTTTGCCAACAGAATTGACTAATATCGATATAAAAGATAATCAACGACCTTTTGCGCATGGTGCTTTTTGCAATGTATACAAAGTGGAAAATTATGCTATCAAATGTCCTCGTGTTCCAACAGTAATTGGTTGTGATATAGAAGATGCTATCATCCATGAAATATTTCTTTCTCGACCGATGAGTCATATACCTAATGTTTTAATAGTATACGGTGGTATTCGATTACCAACTTATGGTATGTCTATTGTTATGGAATTCGTTGATGGCCCAAGTCTCGCCAAGGCATTATCTGATGACACGATTCTGAATTTGACATTCGAAGAGCGTCTAGAAATTTCACTAGGAGTTTGTAAAGGTCTTGGAGAGTTACATTTGGCAGGAATCGTGCACAGAGATTTCAAACCAGCAAATGTTCTTCTTAAAAAAGTATCTAATGGACACGGCTACGTACCAAAAATAGCTGATTTCGGAGTGAGTTTTCTCATACAAACAGCATCAGCTACAGCCGTACAAAAATTAGGCGGCACTGTTGGATATGATGCACCCGAAGTGGCTGATGGAAATACTCCATCATTTCAATCGGATATTTATGCTCTTTCATTTACACTCTACGAACTATTGACAGTTCATCGCCCATTCATTGGTCTAAAAGATACGCAAATAATAACGAAATACACAATAAAAGGGGAACGTCCCAAAGATTGGAGTATTCGTGCTAATAACCCGACAGTAAACATTCTACCAGATATGTTAAAAAATGTCATTGAGAAAGGTTGGCTACCAACATCTGAAGATCGTGCGTCAATCGGTGAAATTATCTATGCGATAAGAAAAACGATTAATTCTGATTATAAGAGTTGTGCACGAACATTGTGGGAACGCTTTCATTATTCAAGCAGAGATTCATCGTACGAATACGATTTCATCGACAAATACAACACATTTGAATTGCTAGCAATACAAGAAATCATCAAAAGATTAGTGATTGAAGATAGTGAAGCGGTTCAACTCTTATTAAATAACTATGCTTGGGGTTGAGTAAAATCCTAAATTACTACGTTGCATTTCTTGTATTGAGTTATCAAAATCATAATAGAAAACCGTTCGAAGATCAGTGATTCAATAGTTATTATAATAAGAATACAATTATTTGAATAATATTTCAAACGCAAATATATATGTATTCGTATTTTCGTTTAGTTTTCGATTAGATGATATCACGATGGTTCTGAGAACTGTCGTAAGTATTAACCAAAAGCACCGACAAAACATATTATATATCCAATAAAGACCAAAAACTACTGACTCTTTCTTATTAAAAGATACAAGAGACAAGTAAAACTAGATTAAATAGAAACTAAGGGCGCACGGATTTAAAATAGAAATGAACCTCGAATATTCCGGGTTCGGTGGAAAAGGCAGAAAGGGAAAATGCCGAAAAGGCAAATGCAGAACGGGAAAATGCAGAAATATAAACGTCGAATGAAAGACAACAGAACAAGGAAAACGTCGAAAAGTAAAATGTTGAAAATTCAACTGTTTAATAATCTTAAAGGCAAACAGAATTTTATTGGATCACATGATAAAAGTCAATGGAAAAGGGAAAAACTAAGTTAATAAGCATTATCTCCTTTTTTTGTGTGATCCAAGTAGTAATGCTAATTCCTTCAATAGTTGTTTTTACGTTGATCTCATCGTTCTTGGACCGTGTTTTAAGCGTTTCAAATCTTTTCTGAAAAGCTGTTGCGTACTTTGATTCTTTTGCAGATGAAGCACCACCAGCTAGTTAAGCTATTTCGACACAGACTCCAGTAGCAACCAATGTAAGCTGAAGAACAAAATTTCATTATCTATAGACATCTTTTCCATTTCACGTTTTCATTTCCAAGAATTTTCTGCGTTTCTCTCTAGTATAGGTTTTCGCCGAGATTTTTATTAATTCTACTTTCCCGTTCGACGTTTTCACCTTCTGCAATTGCCAGCTTCGGCATTTCCCTTTTCGGCGTTTTTCTGTTCTGCCTTTTCCGCCAATTCGAATTTTCCTGCTATAATTCGCAAAATTTTATCCATAATATTATTGTAAAATTCTACCAGTAGTCGATTAATCAATCTAGAAATCGATAACATATCTAATTATCACCGAACAAAAATACTATTACATTTGAAAACAATGAAAATTAACTTGAAAAAGCCAAAGAAAAGATTACTGAGGTCATTTACCAACCTAAAAGAAAACATAGTGTAAACTCAATGAAAATAAGAAATCCAATAAAAACAACCGATCTTTTCGTCTTTATCTGAAGCGTGAGATTATAGGAGGTTTTTCATAGGTGTAGATTATCTTATAGTTCAGCTAGATATAAAGGTATGACTAACAGTGTAATTACACGAAACTATGACTCAGCTAACCATACAAATATTGATACCCATATGGAAACTGACATTGGAATACATATCGACATCCGCACCTTCTCTAGCGTCGGATGCTCGTGCTACTTAGAATTGAAAAGAATGCATTTCTTTTATGTACAAATAAATGAAGCCTATTCGATTTTGAATTAAAAATCGATAATATGTAAATAATGTTATTTAACTGTAATTTAAAAATGAATTGACTTTATTTGAATAATATCAAATCTATTTTCTCCTCAATTCAGAAGAAAACTTCATAAATATATTTGTATTCGATATGTTTTTTGGTTCATTATTTTTTTCTGAAGCTTGAAGACATTTTAAAAAATGTTTCTGAGGATAAAAAAACTAGAGTCCAATCAACGATTCATTATATCAGGTCAAATAAGACTCTCGTTGATTTTATAATTAAAAAAAATACGTAATATTCCTTTTAGCTCGATTACTTTACTCTATTTTATGAGTAATTAAATTATTCCATCTTGATATTAATACTAAGTCGCATTGGTGCGGCTCAATTTAATATTTAACCAGGCTAATCGTAGTGTGTATTTGGCATAAACTAAGAGTATGACTTATAACATTCCGAGTTTATTCTGATTTGATCGAAGTTTTTATTTTGTCAGAATACCTAGTCATGGTAGTTAGAGAAAAAGACATTGCAGAGTAAATTTTACCAGTATCATGGACTAGTCATATCACCTGTCTTCATTTATTTTTTGCTTATTTGCAAGATTTGAGTGCATCACTTGGAAAAACGGGAAACTCATGGAAGTACTTTCTAAAGACGAGTTGCTCAAGTAGCCCAAGCAGCCCTTTACAAAAATCTAATGTTTATGTTTCACCATGGAATTCAGAGTACAATCTTTAGAATTCAATTCTACGCATGACAATACCTGACTAGAACGGTTTCATATATGAATCACCGGTTGGAATTAAAGCTATAATGAAATCCAAGTCGAAATTATTGATTTTTTCTAAGTAGTTTTCGTCGAAAAACTTTCTTTATGCAACACGCGTTTCTTGTACGACAAAAAAGGTTCATTCTTCACAGCACGACGATTGACATATAGATGGGTTTTTCAAGAAATTGTACTGACGTACACAATTTAACTTAGCTACGTAGTCTATAATCAATAAAGAGAGAAGATAAACTTTAAAGAAAACTATATTCTTTCAAACCAGTCTTTCATATTGTGTCTATTTATATGCGCTTCCGCCTGTCATGTTTTGTCAATTAGTCTTTTCCAGAATGTTTTCAATTGTTTTGGTAATTTAAATAAATGTGCCCAAAATGATTTATTGTTAAACACGACCGTGCACCATTGAATCACTTTTTCATCGTCGAGTGATTCCATGATACCGAAAATAAGCTCATTGATACCGGACTGTTCAAACTCTTTGCCTGAATCTTCGTCTACAAATTTCTGACTATTTACTGCTGTGCACAAGCCCATATTGCCAAAATAGACAACACCATTTTCTTCTCGAGTTCTTTGATGATAATGCTCTAGTAAATTTTGAAAGTCTTCCATGACAGCATCTCGTTGTGGCTTTTGCCCAGCCCACTTATTTGTACACACAAGTGCACAAAATATTTGTTTTTTCATGCACTCATCCAACAGCCAACGTAACTGCTGAAGATTTGCAAAAGAACCTGGCGATGCACAATAGATCATACACAGTATATCGGACTTGGGTTCTTTTAAAATGCCTTCTAGTCTTTTTCGAATTTTGTCTTTTGTCCAACTTTCGAATCCTGGTGTATCCCAAAAGTTATATTGATAACTTACGGCTTCCGAATTGATTTCAATTTCACCTCTAAGAACATAACGTGACATCATGCTCGTACAAGAATCAAGTCCAGCACTTGTGTTAGCTAGCTTCTGTTGACAAATAGCATTTACCAGAGTACTTTTCCCGACTCTTGCTGATCCACACAATACAATATTGATTTCTTTGTATGCGTTAGAGATATCTCGATGTAGAACAGAATCACGAGTAACAGCAGTACCAACTTCGAAAATTTTAGATGTCACATGTTGATAAGTATTTGCTAATTTTTCTGAAAGAGATGAATTTTGAGCACTGTCACTTGATACTGTTGCTAATGTACGCCAATTTACATCTTCTTGTGTCAGCTGTACAAATGGAGGTGATACTGCATCTGAAGAAGATATGTTAAGATTTAAATCTGTACTTCTTGCAACGGATGCTGGCGTACTTCCTGTGCCAAATTTTATTTTCAATTGATCGATCACTAATTCATTTAAAGCATCAGCTGGAGAACTAGAAGTTGACGGCTTGAAATATTAAAAAAAAATTATCTTTAACATTTCCGACAATAAAACGGTTGCTCAAGCAGTACTAACAATGCAGCGAATCATGAAATCTTTTTTGACACTTACCCTGTCATCATTTATTGCTATGTCTCTGGGTTTGGTAGTAACAGTCGGTGTTTGTAGTTTTGTTGTTCTTTCATCTTGATTTTTGCTTAAATTTCGTCGCGCCAGATCCATAATTTGCTCACGTATCACTGTTTTCATGCACAATTGCAATACAGGGTACTCCATTGTGAGAGCTTTAGTATCCTTCAACATATTGTCATTATCCAGCATTTCTTGATTATTTAATAAAATGAGATAATAATTTTCATAATCGATTTCTGCTTTACGTATACTATGTTCACACGCATACTTAATGATATATTGAACTGTTGATTCCGGCGAAATTGGTACATTAATACTTTCGCCGGTTCTTTTGAAGCGAACTTCAATCGTCTGAGATGCCATTGGTCTCTAAATTGAAATTTAGATGATACTTAATATTGTTCACGCCAAGGTTTTTCTACCGACAGCCTTATAAAATGAATCGATAATTTTTCAGTATAAATTTCTATTCTATCTCTACTAGATATCAATGTAGTGAACCGTCAATGTTTTTTTACTCTTTATGTATACCCTCATCTTTCTCTGGCAACGAATTCATTTTTTGACTCAAACGCAGATGGACACACACACTGCCTCCGCCGCCAAACTAGTACTGATGTTCGAAATCTTCAGATTGATGATTAATGAAATTCACCAGAAATGTATAATTCATCCTTTTTTTAACTCTATCCAAACGGAAGTGAGAGAAATGAATTATCACCACGAGAGGCTTTTTTTTATTTTGAAATAAAACAGTGGCGCCATGCTGCTATGAAGTAACTTGTAAAGAATGCAACATGTTTGCATCAGTAAATTTTCTCTCTCCAATGTAAACATTGTCGCATACAATTTGAAGGCACCAATGGCAAAAAACATTGATGTAATGTCAAGGTTTCTATTTTTTTCTCTTTTCTAGTATGTACATTAAATTCATTAGCGAACGATGAAAAATTTTTTGATATACGAAAAAGAATCATTCAGTCATACTCTTCAACGAGATTTCTTTACTATTCTATTGAGCGAATAGGTATAATCACCATTCAAAAATTAGAAATTCAAGAGAAACAGTTGCTATTCAATTTCTGAAGAACGCAATGAGGATCTCATGTGTCCATATTTATGACCTCATTATTAAGGTTGTGCACGATATTCTTTCAGATTTCTTCTTTATATAAAAATAAATGTGGAAACTTCGGATTTCATCCGAGAGTTATGTGTACTGCAAAAAGTGCATGCGACATGAGTCATTCTAGAATGTCTGAACACGAAAATTATCATGAGA